TTCAGTGTATATACTTCATATAATGGCAGTTATTTCACCTCATAACAGGCCTGTAAAAAGAATTCCTACTACTTAATTTTTCTTATAATATTCGACTGTATTTTATTTAAAAAAACGCAATATTCTTTAACTTTATCTTCCAATTTTAGTTTCAGAAACTAAAAAAATAGATTTCTGTTAGAAGAAAAACAATAGAAATTTGAGATGCTTGGTGCATAATTTATGACCCTTTAACTCTGATGAGTACATATTTTAATTATATCACTAACTGGGACAGTGTGTCCTTCAACAAAAAAAATTTAGCCATCGTAAAAACTTTTGCAAGGTGCTGTACCAAGTTTTTTTTTTTTGGTTGTTTCTGTCAGAAGCTGGCTTGAAATAATGGAAACCACTTTGGTAATATATATATAAAAAATGTAGAATAGGACATAAAGAAGCTTTTGTTGAGTACTTTTATCTGAGCACATTCCCTGACACAAGATGGGAGGAAGCATAGCAATGATGGAAGAGATGTTACGTAAAACTCTGACAACCTTTCAAGGTCCATTACGAACCACTTAACGTTTTTTACAGCATAAAATATTTAAACAGGACTTTTCTGGTATGTACATTTTCAAATCAAGTAAAACTCACTATTAACCCCATCTCGACATATAATAGACTAAAAAATGTTGATGTTTTAGGACAGGAAGCTGGGACTGATGGAATTTTACATCATGATGTCTGAGACAAAAGACATAATAGATTTACAGCAGCTACTCCTACTATACGCTTTTAATAAGCAACTAAAAATTATTTTTAATTGAGGAAATTGTAAATGGGTGTTAAACACCAAGTCTGTGTTTTCCTGCCCACTTTGTAGTCTTTTCCTGCCAACTCCGGAGGGCCAGAGGATGAATAGCTTCTGTCTGTGAACTGAGGCTGATCTGGTATCTTCACTCTCAACCTGTAATTTTGACAGCTCCAGGCTGAAAGTTTCCTTCCTCTCTAGGAAATGACATACTAATGGCTCACTCTTGCCTCCTCTCCAGTCTTCCATCACAGCTGTCTAATGAGAGCATCAGTGTGTAAGTGGCTCCTAATGATGGATGCCTTCAATGTCATCAGTCGGAAGCAAATGGCAAAAGCACTCAAGAAAAAACAACACTTTTCTAACAGTGAAAGAAATGAAATATTCTTGTGATTCCAGAGGGATCCGTTTCTGTTGTCCATTTCAGTTATGACATTAAAATAAAGATCACTCCAACTGATTCACTTTGATTTAGAATAAAAAAAAAGACTAACTAATTATAAATGGAAGCTATAATAAGTCCCACTTACAGTGTGTCATAAGGCATGTTGCTTTTCTGATCAGATGGAACTGATAGATCACTCCTTGTAGCTGGCATTTCAATAATTACACATTTGGTCTTAATGAATAATCCAATGTGATGCCAAAAATGCGTCCCCACATTATGATGTTAAGGTGCATTTCTTTGGATATAACCATGATGGGCTTAAAACAAACAATCCTTGAAGAAAACCTTTGACAAGCTGCAAAATATGAGACTGCACTAAAGATTCACCTTCCAATAGGACAAAAATCCTGGACATACAAACAGAACTACAAGTGATCAGTTTTAATTAAAACCCAGGAAACCTTCATTCATAAAGTCTGTTTAAGGTCATGTCTCAGCCACTGTGATTTAAACTGAGCCATTAGGTTAAAGACAAACTTGCAAGCTGGTTGAGAGATTTCCAATTAGAAACCTGTGAAAACCTGAAGTGTGAATTTAGGGGAAGTGATACACGTAGAGGCCAAGAAATGACACTAATGTTTGTGGTTGTAATATCACATTACGTGTCAATATAAAGTGACATAAATACTATTTGTCTTTTATTGCTATTTCTAATCTATTCTACGGACACAAAAGTATTTTTTACTGTGATAGATCATTAATCTTTCTTAGTATCTCAGTGACACATTATTTAAATTCATACATATTTAGTAACTAATGATTATATTGATATATAATATATCTTTAATGAGTTATATAACATATTTATAGGATAAGATATGAAGTGCTATGATTTATTTTTTTCCTTAATATTAAAGATCCAAATAAACACTTGCTTTTTGCCTCCACATAGTGTATATTTAATGTTACTACAGGACCAAAAGTATAGATAACATCTGCTGGGTTTTCTGCTTCTTAATTATACAAAACTCTACATTCCTGGGAAGTTTTAAAAAGTTAGAGTTTATATTGGAAATCTGTCATCGGTCTCCTGCATGACTGAAAAGCAAACAGGGTCATGACCATAAAGAGGTGGGAAAAAAAAGCAACACATCTCACAAACCCAAAAAATGTATTCCGTCCAATGAAACCTATTTTCTGCAGCAACCTTCATCCTGTATCATGGTTGGGTTTTTTTAGACAATATTTTCAAAATCAGCATTTTTTCACATTTCAAATGGACTCAGAGTCACCTCAGCTCATTCTTATACTCTTGCCTCTTTGAAGCTTCCCTGATGAAATGAAACTGCAAATCATGAGTTCATTTAAATAAGGAATAGCATCCGGTGCTGTTCACTGAGAGGATAATATTCCATTTCTTTTCTTATCACCACCGTGGAAAGAGGGGGCAGGCAAATTCTCACATGCCTTAACTAAGTGTAAGTCTGTAAGAAGATTTATTTGCATAAGCACACACCGGCTAACCAGCTTCCTGTGAAACAGCTTTGGATAAAAATAAAATAAAAAAAATGGTATAATACCCATGCCTCTTCCAAGGAATTCTGCAGCAGCTCTCCTCCGCCAGCTTCATAAAGTAAAGGAGTTTTACCAAGGTGTTTAGCAGTAACCTAAAATAGCCATTTTTATCTTATGGCAGAAGACCATGAATACTGAAACACTCATAAAGAGGAAATCATGCTTTCACACAGTGGTCTCTAAAGGCACTTCAGTTTAGTTGCTTGGTTGAGTTTTACACTTAAAGGATGAAATTATTCCTATCACCCCTGCTAAAGATGTCTAAAGGAACCAAGAATAAATTGGTTCTTTTTACAATATCATGAAACCCGTTACGTGCTCTTAAAAGTGAGCTTTGAATCATAACTCCTTAACAACCTAAATGTCATTGACCCGAGTCCTGTCCAACTTAATAATTTAATACCTTCCTGCAAATAATACTTTTATGCAGCTCTTTTTCTAACAAGCAATCTTGGCCTAACTTGAAAAACATTTTCTATTTGTCAAAGTTGTGTTGGAGGTTTGTGTGAGGACCCAAAAGCAGAGGCAGGGAGGCTGAGGTGAGTTGCTGATTTAATGGGATAACACAGGTAGCAAAAACAGGTATCCAAAAATCCAACTTAAAAATGAAACAAACCAGAACAATGGAGACGTCAGAGAAAAACAATCGCAAGCAGCCAGGGTAAAATGAAGTAAGACGAGGAACCAGCACTGAGGGAGTGCAGAGGGAGTGTTTTTATGGCTGACTGAACAAAGGCAGGACTAACGAGCAGATAAGGAGCAGGTGTGAGTAGAGCTGATGAGGAAGCCAAAGGAAAAGAAAACAAAAGGGGGAAACGGAGGACAAGCAAAGAAAAATCCTAAGAAACTTAAATAAATCCAGAACACACTAATAAAGCTAGAAAACAAAGAAAAACATGGATAAACGTGAAACTGAAAACTTAGAGAAAACCAACAGAACCAAGATCGTTACACTATTGTCCAGTTCCTGGTATTGTGACTAGAAGAAAAAACTCTTTTTGTCATTTCATATTTCTATACTAAGGAAAAGAACATTTTGAATGATGAGCCAAGTACTCCTAAATACTCAAATCATCATAAACGAGTAAGTGCTGTTAAGTTTGATTATTTTGTAAGAACTGTGTGTGGTTTGATAATTTAAAACACAGGGGTAACTTCTGTTTTTATTAAATATACTCAGATTAAAGGTGATTTTTTTTTTCTAAATTTGGCATATGACATTGTGTTCCTAAAATAATCTATTTAAATGTTTTCTACCCATGATTACCTGAGACACCAATATATCAGAATATACTGGTTCAACTCTTCCCTCTGTAGACTAAAGGCTTTAAGTATGTAAAATGACCTATTTCTAATGATAAAAATATAATTTTATAGGAAAAACGACACAAATGACAGGATCCTGTTACAGAAATAAGGAAAATAAAAGTTTTTTTTTTCCATTCAGAATATCTGAAAAACATTGAGTCAAATGTAACTCCGTTCAGTATGCAGTCAATAAAAAGACCATTCTTGTTTGTTAAAGTTGCATCAGATCAAGAAAACAATTAAAGGCTAAACAAAACAGGGGGTGGTAAAATATGATTTACCTTTTCTGTTATCAACAGAAAATGTTGTAACAGTAAGTACACCTGTCTGAATTTTCCCAAAGCATGGTTGCTGACCACCAGACATATTGTGTATTTGATAACCGTGTGAAAATCAGCATTGATCATAGCCAGTGCTGGTGTAGATAACTGGAACTACTTACTCAAAACTGAAAGAAAGTTGGATTGGATTGTAAAAAACTGTAAGTAGCCTAATTGTTATCTTTGCTTCTTTATGTGTGCATCCTGTACAGCCATAAAACTGCAAAAAAAAAAAAATAAAATAGAACTGTAAGCAGGTGACCTCTCGGCTGGATTTTCAGTGAGAAAATGAACCTCTTAGGCAGAGTGAAGTTGAGGCATCAGCAGGTTTATTTGGCTCCACAGCATTCAGACTCCATCAAACACACAATCTCTGGCTTAAATAGACACAGCTGATGGACTAAACCATTTACATGAAAATTAACTCCTCACTTCCATCTACAAACACACATTTAAATCAAATATCTACAAACACACACTTAAGGTTATTTTTTTATAAACATTTTCTGATTTAACTTACACCTAAATACTATAGAAATCCCACAAACTATGCACAACTCCCCCTATATTTTCCATGGTCTCTCCCAGAACCTATAAATGGTACCCCCGGGAAGCGTTCGTCCAAACACCCTGGAGAGGACACAGAAAAGACAGGTAAGTCACTTTCTCAGCACCACAACACTTCTTTTGCACTCACTTCTAACAAACTCTACACTGACATTTGCTGAAGTTTCTAAACAGGAACCCTTGCTTGCTCTAAACATCAATTCTCTTTTCCACAGACAACCACCCCAATTACTAATGGAGAGCAGCTGTGGAGAGCCTGGAACAAAAGGCTACATGCTAACTTTTAAAATACACAATAAATATTCAATAAATATTTCAAAACCTTGTGTGCAAACTGTTCTTTATGTGCAAATCTATGCTTAAAGTGTAGTGCTAAATAGTGTCCTAGTGCTAAGCAAGCTGATTTTTGATAAAGTGCAAAGGCCCCTTTACAGTTCTACAAGCCATTTACATAAGAAGCTATATGCATAAAAATAGTCCCAGTAATGAAGACCTCTTCATTACAAGAACATATGGATATTTAATTTCACTTTTGATAGTTAGATGTTCAAGCAACATAAAAAAATAAAGTTTGAATAAAAGCTTCTTGAAAAGTGGAGAAAAAAAAATGCAACCTCTGATGACCCCCACTTAAGAATGTTAAATTCAACAAAGGCATATAAAATTAAATCAGAATGAAACATTAGTAAAGCATAGTTACTCAAACACTGGAAGGTCTACTCGACTAAAATGTATAAATATCGCCATGTGTTTTCTTTACTATTAAAGTAATAATGAACATCACAATAGAATGTGAAGAGCTACCTAAGGCCATAAGAAAGAAGATTGAAGCAGCTTTCTAGTCTGGTAAGTGATCTGAAAAGGTGAAAGGAATTTAAAATCCTCAATGTGGACACTAATCTTCAAGTGGAAGACACCCAAAACAGCTTCAAGCATGCTCAGGTATGTCTGTCTAAACAAGTTCAACCATGGAAGCAGATTGCCAGCAACAAAAAAAAGTAAAAAAAAAAAAAAGTCAGCTTAGAACATGCATCATTCCTACCATTGTTGATTTGAAAGTACATTGTTCTTTAAAGGTTTAATTGTAATGGAATTTCTTTAGGGAGCCAATCTTACTTCTTAAATTCACTGAGGCAGACTGATGTTTAGATAACGTCGTAGACAAAGAGCAGGACTTCAGGAAAAAGGTTCTTTTGAAAGATAACACTAAAAATCAAATACCAAAACTGTTAACAGAGAACATGTTTGAAAAACAGGAATATGCAGCTCAAGATAAGAACCTCCATCGGCTGTGAATCACAGAGTAGGCATTGTTAGGCTTTAGGGATGGTTTGCTGCAGCAAACACTAAATTAGGAAAAATGTCAGATCAACTAAAAGAAATGAAATCAAGTTGAAACAGAATTGGATCTTTTAACATGACAATGATCCACTGGGAAATCCTATAATGTCTGCCATAGAGTTAAAACATACAGTAGCAGGCTCCTAGCCGAGTCAAAACCCACATCATGAAATATTCAAGACGCTGTGTGATAAAGTAAAACAGGCTGTACATGCAAGGAACCTCTCTAACCTCTCACAGCAGAATGTGTTAAAGTAATCCTTACTTCATAAACTATCAGTTCTACATCAAAAACTGGTGTTTACAGAGAGCTTTTGAAAAGACTTTATACTGTTAAATTAAAAAACTATTTTGGTCAGTTGGCTATTTTCTGTTTTTGTATCATGTTCCTGGTACCTTTAGAAATGAGAAATATTTAATCGCTGAACATTTTTTGTGAATAAATTTTTTGTGGGATTTTAATAATCAAAATCATGATGTAAATCAAAATAACCTTTTCAATTAAAAGACTTTTTAACCCATTGTTTGTTATAGATCAGTTCTTTTGAGCAGATTGTTGTTTTTTATATTTGTTAATCTGCTTCAATATGAATTATTTCTGGTAAATGCAATGACTTGTTCCATATCTGTATTCATGTGTTTTTATTCTCTTTTTCCTTACCATCAAATTGCCATTGGATTAAACTAGTCCTTGTAGCTAAATCTGGAAAATGTACATGCTATTTGAAGCACTTGTGTTGGTTAAAATGCGCTATCCCAATATTAGACAAAAAATAATCTCACTACAGTAATTTCAGATAACAGTCCATTTTTTTTTTCTTTTTCCTTTATTACAATACACCAATTTTTGAAAATCATGCGTGAAACATGAGTGATTTGCTTAATGAAATAATTTTTTTCTAGACATAAAATAAAGACTGGATATCGATATGTGAGGATTTCCTCAAAAATAACTAAATACTCATTATAGTGTGCCAATGGAATGCTATGTGTTTTCAGGGTAATAAACCGCAAAAAACAATTTGAATAACTACTAACTAATGGGTTTTTCAGTGACGAATAAAGGCGGTTATTAGTATGTAATATTGGAAATATTTATATGAAAGCTCTCTGTAAGCTGCATTTACTATTCCAACCAAAAAGGAAATGAAATGCGACGAAAATGGAATCTAAAGATTTGTTTATTAACATGTATTTTCAATACAGCAAAAGGTTCCTTAATACATTTATCAGAAACCAGGTTACAGGAGAAAACAGATTGAAGCAGGAAATTGCAGAGAGCAGGAGGAGTATTTTAATCTGGATAAAATAAATACATATGGACTCACTAACACAGTGTGTTTCCGGTGCTACCGGAAACAACACTCTCTCTTCCCCAGGGACTTTAACCATAGAAAACCCAAATAACCTCAACTCTACATCCTAATTTAATCTTAAACTTTGTATTTACTATATAATTTTAATTTCTACTTTATGTAGAGGAATTTCTTTGCCCAAAGGAGAAGGTTAATGGAACATTGTTAATATATTTTTTTGTTTTGAAAACTCTTACTGATTCAGCAAAGGTTTATCCTTTACTTGAGCAAAACCTTAAATTTTGCTGTCATATTGTTTTACCCTGAAATAAACTGTGTATAAAACTAGAGCAAAAACAGAGAGCGGTCCTTGTTTTTCATGAAGTTCTTCACCTCAGAAGTAAAAACCAAAAATATGGTCCTCACAAAGGTAGCCAAACATAGATCTCTCCCAAACACACAGGGGGGCGGGGTGTGTAGTTTCTCCCAGCCAATTATCTGAGGGTCTGTTATTGTCCAGCCAATCAATGCCCAGAATCTTTATTATCGCTGTCGTTCACCAGAGGAAACGTCTAAAAAGGGTTTACAATTTATTAAACTGTACTTCCCTCTTGTGGTATTCCTGGGTATAACTTTATAAATCCACTCAGTGTAAATAAAGAGCTTTGATTTAGGACATTTACTGAATAGAATAATTTTCAAATGCTAGAAAATGAAAAATAATATAGGCATTTTACTTTCAGTGTGTAAGATAACTAAACTTCAGTGTAATATAAATATTTTAAACTCTGCCTTTATTTCCCTGAGGTTTAGGCAAACACATTTTATTGCTAGAAGTAATGATCCACTTGTGGAAATCATTGAATCTAGCTGTTTTAGAGACTTCCAAGCCCTGGGGTTATTCAAGGTAGACCCTGTCTTGCAGATTGATACTAATGAAGAACAGCGGATACTTTTATCATACCATTACATAATGAAAACAGAAAACAGTATGTAATTGAATTGATCTTGAAGAAAAAAAAAAAAATCTAAGAATTGCAGAATTGTTTGGTATTCTTTAAAATTATGGTTGTGTCCTCCTTCAGTTAAAACTCTAACTACCGCAGCCTCATTTTTGGATTCTGAACACTGTATTGATTTGTCTGTGTGTATATATGTTTTTGTGTAAGTTACATATTTAGAATGATTTCTTTGGTAAATTTACTAACCGTTTGAGGACCAAATGTGGTGGACCCCCATTTTCAATGTGCGGGTGACAGTTTAGAGGTATGGTGTGAATTAACTTAGGGTAAGGTTAGAAATATACTAGGAATGGTTAGGGTCAATGTCAGGGTGTGGCATTAATGCAGAAACTAAAATGATTGTAAGTCAATTTAAAGTTCTGACAAGATAGAGATACAAACTTTTATGTGTGTGTGGCGCATGGAGTCCAGTGGTTAAAATCAATTTCTTTAAATGTGAACTTAATTAAAGAAAAACATTGAAAATAAATCAAAGCCAAAAAAAAAAACAATAAAATTTTTTTAGGTCTAAATTTACCTCTATTTTGTCTTACAGTATATAACAATGGGGCACAGAGGGGATTCCTTCTCTCTCCTTCCACCTCATTTTTAAACTTTATAGTAGATTAAGAAACGATTGCAAAGGGATTGCAATATGCTGCTACTGTGGTACTAAAATCTTTATGGTTAAAACATTTCTTTTTTTATTTTAGCTTCTGTCATGATGGGCTCTCAAGGGGGACCCAATTATGCAGAACACCACTGAGGCGGAAACAGGAGTAAAGGTTTTAACAGAGTTTATTTAGACAAGCACTGAGATTACGACAGGTTCGGGTTCAGGCCTGGGAAACTGGTTCACTGGGTTCTTGAGGTTAGCTTTGGGAGAGTCACTGTTGGATCTGGAGAGGAGTTGCTCAGCAGAGTCCGCTTGCTGCTTCAGCGTCTCACGTTTAGAAATTAACAGACCTTGGCTTTGGGTTTTCCAGCTCTTAGTCCTGAGCTGCATGGAAGTTCTCTATGGTTCTTCAGGTTTGGCTCTGAGGGTCGGCTCGGCAGGTTAGCTCTTCCAGAGCTTCACAGACGAGACACAGGTTTCCAACTGGATCAACACTGCGACATTGAGGCAAGCTGTCTGAAGACAGCTTATATAGTGGATCCTCTGATGATGGTAATGAGCAGCAGCTGTGCAGGAGGCTCTGCTCAGGAGGATCCACGGCGGACTCTGCTGGAGAAAGATGGTACTACTCCAGCTCCCAACAGCTTCATTACACATTCCAGAACCTGATGTGATTCTTAATGTTTTTTTTTTTTTTTTCCCCAAAACTCCTGTTGTACCTGGTAAAGACAAAAATAACTGAAGTTATTTTTAGCAGAATCAATTTTAAGCAGATGAAAATAGGAGTGTGATGGTGTTGCAAAATGCCCTTATAGATAACAGGTGAGACACATGATTAAAAAAAACAAAGAATTATGAATACTTCATATTCAAATAATTATAGTTCAAGTTTTTTTAATACAGTGAACAATAAAGTTGACCTTTTTCAATAATGAAAGGAAAAATCTGTCCAACCATATGGCAATCGAACCCTTTTAAAGCTAAATATCAATATAAAGAAACATTTCCAACTGTAAGGTTACTGTATGGCAGTTATTATTTTTTTTTTGGATTAAGTTGATAGATTCATAGATTTACTTCTAATAGAAAATTAGCCTTGCTTTTTTAGATACAAAAATAACAACAAAGCATAACAAAAGTAAACAGACTCAATATTTGATTTATTTCCAGCCAAAATGCCTTAGTAGGAATAACAGTTTTAAATAAAACTGATGTTTTTTTACTCAAATAGTTTTACATAGTATAGATTACATAGTTTTTCAAACTATGTAATCTTAATGCTTAAGACAAAAGAGAGAGAACAAGAAAGAAAGAAAGAAAGAAAGAAAGAAAGAAAGAAAGAAAATCTGCTCTGCAAAATGGGAGCATTAGTTGGACCTGATTTGGTTTCTTCCCCCCTGCTGTCCCTGAACATGTGACTCAGAAATCATTAATTCATGGAAGTGATTCTAACGTTGTTTTTGTTTTTTAACATGAAAGCTCCGCCCACCTGTTCCTCATATAACAGCTGCCTTCTGACGGCTGTAGGGACACAGCAGTAGACCTGCTCCTCATCCTCACATGGACTCCCAACAAGTTTCTCACTGAAAATGGAAGCAAATATAGTTGTCATGGGGACAGAGAGCGTCGGGAAATCAGGTAAAAACATGTTTTTTCTAATGAAAACGCAGGCTTCTGGTGTTGCTTTTGAGTGGAGGTTAATACAATTGTGATGTCTCTCCAGCAATGACTGTGCGTCTTCTGACTCGGAGATTCATTGGTGAATATGGAGACATCGGTAAGTTTCCACTTCGCCTGCTTAAACTTGATGCCGATTTAATCAGTTATCCCAGAGGTTCAATGTTTCTTTGTTTCTTTGTTTTTCAGAATCCATCTACAGTCAGAGTTCTATAGTTGATGGGAGGGAGGTTACTCTGAATATTTGGGACTCACCTTACTCTGAGGTACTGAGAAACTGTATAAATGTATTAACATGCTGCCACACAAAGTCAATCTTCCAGTTTTTTTAGCCTGGCATAAGAGAAATTACTGGCCTGCCTGACTTAACAGGATAAAGACTGAGAAAGATGAAAAAAGGTTTTACATTATTACTGGATCTGGAGTGCTTTGTATCATCACACTTTGAAATTGAAGTATTTAGAGTGATTAATCCTTACTGGACATTGAGATTAAACTGCACTGTTTTGTACTACTGTTTTATCATTGTCTCCCTTTTATCTCCTCTTTCTTTCATCTTTTCTCATTTTCCTGTTTTTCTTTCCTGTTCTATTGACATTGCAGTGTCCATATAACCTGTAATACTCTCTGCATGAATTATAATAAAGCTATTTATATGCATAAATCAAGCGGAACACTATGCCGATAGCCGTACTGCTCCACTTGTGAAAGCAAAATCTGTTGGGCTCTTTTTGGGCATCATAATTATTCTTATTGCCACATTGCCAGACAGGACACTGTTAAAAAAAAAGATAAATTACAATAAAAGAAAACAATTGAAATGTCACAAAAGTCCCTATGTTATTTTTTGCAGGATTTGTCTGTGGAAACCTCGCCTCTCCATAAAAAGGTCCAGTGGGCAGATGGCTTCGTCCTGGTGTACAGCATCTGTGACAGAGCCAGCTTCAACGCCATCAGCAGGCTGGTTCAAAGGATCAAGTCCACCAAAGATTGTCTATCTGGGAATAAGGTCCCTATAGCAATAGTGGGCAACAAAAGGGACCTGCACCACAGACGGACAGTGCTGAGCGAGGAGGGCAGTATGCTGGCCATTAACGCAAACTGCCTCTTCTATGAAGCATCGGCTGCAGAGAACTACCACAGCGTTTGTTCTGTCTTTAATGGCCTTGTGGACAGGATGAAGGATGCCAAGCTCACTACAAAGAAGCCTCTGAGGTTTAAGGGCATTGTGAAAAGCATGTCTGCGGTTTTTGCAAGGAGAAGGACAGATTCCCTTTGAGGGCATTACGAAGCTGAAACAAGAGACTTGATATTGTTATACGTTTGACCAGATGGACACAATATAATGATCAGACTGTGAATTAGAAAAAGCATTTAAACTTCAGAAAATATGAACTAAGACACATGTTGCAGATGATCACTGGACCTTAACATAAAGAAGAAAATGACATTTTTTAAGTCGTTGGGGAAAAAACCCACTGTAATTAGTTTTTTTTAAAGAAAAATGTTACCCCAGATTTGAATGTCAATAAACCTCAATGTGGATCCAAATGTATTCCTGCTTGAAGCCTCTGTGAGAATCTTGTAACAAACAAACATTCTTAAAACAACTTCTTCAAACGTATTTTAAAGCCAAAGTCTGCATGTGTTACTGCGCTTTCTGTGTCTTATTTAATTCATCTTAGAAAATGTCAAGAAAAGCTGTCAGTCTTTTTCTAAAAGTAAGATATTGGTGCACAGATGGAGGGGTGAAACTTTAAGTATAATGTATGTCCTGCTAGAATAGAAAAAAAAATATTTTTTTTAAGTTCTTTTTTATAAACATGCTTTTTCAATTTCTGTGAAGGATTTTTGTTTACAGCTGGAAATAAAGCATAAACACAACACTGTTTGAGTTCCCAACCTTTTTTGCTGGCTTCATGCTAAGGGTTTGTTTACCTGCCAGTGTTACAGATATATTTTACAAAGTGAGTGAAATCAGTTGAGGACTAAGTTTTCATCTGTGCCTCAGGTGTCAAGCTGGCTATAGTTCAGTCTGTGTTGGAATTGTTATGTAATCACAACAGATTTGTTTTACCCTCTCCAGCATTGCTGTCATTTTCTTTTCCTGTAAATTACTGATAAATTTACTGTATTTCTACTGTGCAACTAGGCTAAATTAAACTAAACATGATGATAAATATCCAAATATAGCAGCAAAAAGGTCAGCCTTTTTGCTGCAAAGGGAATTTGTTTAAGTATTGTTATTAATGATTCCTTTGAGTTTTTTCTCATCATAAAGAATGTCTTCAAATCATTGACTAAAATTCTCTCTAAAAATATTTAAGGTAGTTACACCTAAAGTCCTTCTAACTGGTCAGAAATACGCTCCAGTAAACTTGTTCTGACCCCCAGAGATTAGGAAGAACCTTTTGCCATTAGGTGTTGGGAAGATGTCCATAAGTAGCTAACAAGGCAGCTGGACATGAGGGCAAATGGCAGGTAAGCCGGTGCCGCTGGTTCTATGAAGAATGTGACAGGAATGAGGCAGGGGTTAACAAAGCTTTTTGCCCTTACAGGTCACTGTCACTGTCTATGAACCCAGAAGATTTTATACAAAGGAACCATTAACAAGCACCAGCTAGACTGGGATGTTTTACCTATGACATCTAATTGAAGCTTCAGTGGAGCTGAACTTTGTTTCACCATTGTACTAATTAATATGAAATTAGTTAAAAGATGTGACACATTGCAACTTATGAGGAAATGCATTCAGAATGAGTTTCAGCATTGTGGCTACTACAGGCTTATGTAAACTTTCGGTTAAGAATGTCTGTTGTCCATCCATGCTCTGTAACTCCCTAAATCTTAATGTGGGAGGCTTTGTTGTTCCTTTTCTTTAGTGTTACAGAAAGATATGTGACAGAGTGTACTCTGCCTATTCAACTCAGAAACAAAACATATAACCAAGCATGCGCACAAAAATCCAGTAACTACAGTTCAGAAGGATAGATGTACCTAACATGTAGGATTTAAAATGGTGAGAGGAATCTGGAAAACTATCCAAAGGAAGAACATGCAAACAAAAGGTCTCTGCCACAAACTGAATATAGATACTTTGGTTAACTCTAATCCCAGAGAGTTCAGACTAATCCCAGAGACTTCAGACTATTATGTGTTTGTCGAAATCCTAACAATTTGCATCTGGTCTTCAAACTATCATCTGCATGCCTTCTAACTGCTCCAAATGGTGGTTTCTAGAATTTGTAACAGTAGAATGGGAGGTAGATCTTTGGAGTCCATGAGAAAGAAACTTCGTCTACCTTTAGGGCATGTGGTTAGAGCAGTCAGGGTTCCTGAGCAAGACCCTTAAACCTCACACTGCTCCCTGGGCGTCAGACACTGGAAGTCCACTGCAACCCAAGGGGCACAATAAAGGGATTGAAATATATATATATATATATATATGATGGTGACACAAAGAAATATATAAATGATGTAGCATCTAATGAAACATTAATCACCCGCAGTAATCCTAAACTGGACAATTTATTGCAAACATTTGTGTGACTCTTCTGGCTGCACGTGCTCAGCTTGTTTGTGACTCAAAATAAAACCAATAAGGAAATAATCTGCTTCTCTTTGTTTTAGCCTTTTTCCTTCCGGTCACGGTTTAGACATAAACACACTTCTCTGTTCAGTTCTGCCTGGCAGCAGGTTTTGACGAGACCCAGCTGATCAATGCACAATGTGATTTTCTTTCTCCTTATTAAATGCAAGCAGGGTTTATTTCATTACTGTAAAACTCGGTACCTTTCATGTTCTCAATGAGGTCAGCAGGTTCACAGACACAGTAAACAAAGAAAATAACCATGGCAAGTCAGTTTTAATATTTTCATAGAAAATTGAATCCACTATAGGAAAGTATTAACGATCATCAGTACTCACTTTAGTTTTTGTGAAATCTGTTTGGTTGGAAAATGACAAATCCCGTGCCTTTGGAGGTGAATCTGTGTAATGCAACCAAGGTATTATTTTTAATTTGCACCCAAATAATTCTGTATAGCCAAAGGTAACTGCTTGTCTCCTATACAAATACACAAACATGATTTCTATTTTTTATTAAAAGGATTAATCGAATGCTGGGAGTTTTAGGAAGGCTTTTCAAAAAGTTTAGTTGTATGTTTAGGGAGAGTTTTTGACAATTTTTGCAGAAACCCTGCAGAAGGTCTAGTTCACAGTCTCCGCTCCAATTAATCTCTATGGTGTTCTGCGTGTTAAGATTGAAGAATCTGCACTGGTTAGTCAAGTTACACACCAAACTCAGTGATGCAAAGATGTTTGGACATTCCTTTTTGCACTGATACAAAGTCATGTTGAGAGATGTAGGGTATCATCACCGAGCTGTCCCCGAAAAGTTGGGAACGTAAAAAGGTTCAGACTGTCAATAAGGCTTGAATGTAGTTTCTTGGCTATTAAAGCCAATCCTATCTTTAAACTGTTTAAGGGGTTATCAGGAAGACCCTGATAGTGGTGATCTATATTGACTGTACCAGGTGTCTGCAACCGGGGTCCTTCAGGGTGGTGTTTGGATACATATCTAGTCCAGAAAACCTGAAATAAATAAATGGTTAATAACCAGGCATATGTAAAACTTGCTGCTATGCAGAGGGGGGTAATTAAATCACTGGATCAGATGTGTTGGAGCAGCGATACATCCAAATGTTGAAGAACAGAGATACTCAAGGTCTGGAGTTGCAGAGCTTCTGTGCACTATGTGCATCATTATCTGCAGACCACTTTGGGGTTTTGTAAAGAATGAATGAAAAAGAAAGGATCAATGGGACAATAAACAGGTACACTGTAATGCTGATGATATCCACTGACCTGCTCGACTCACATATAAGCATTGAGTGACATCCCATTTCTAATCTATAGGGGTCCAACATGGTGTTGGTCCACCTCTTACAGCTAGAACGTCTTAAGATCTTCTGGAAAGGCTTCTGACCATTCTTCCAGAAGCTCATTTGGCTCTGGCTCTCATTCTCCACCCCAATTCATCCCAAAGGTGTTCTAGGGCATTGAGGTCAGGACTATGCAGGCTACTCAAGTTCATCCACGCCAGACTCATGTTGTTATACGAAGAGGCCAGCTCTAAACTTTTCCAACAAGGTTGGGAGTAAGAAATTGTCCAAAATGTCCTGGTATGCTGAAGCATTATGAGTTCATTTAACTGGAACTAAGAGGGTAAGCCCAGCTCCTGGAAAATAACCCCACATCATAATCCCCCTCCACCAAGCTTTACACTTGGGCACACTGGAGTCAGACAAGTGCCATTCTCCTGTCAACCGCCAAACCCAAAGTCATTGATCATATTTCCTGATGGAGAAGCATGATTAAGCCTCTTCAGCTAATCTGAAGGCCTCTAAAATTTTGGATATGTGTACTGATTGACTCTGCAGAAAGTTGGCGATTCTGGAATTCACTGAAGGTGACTCTCTTTCACAAATTTCTGCAACAACAGTCTGCACTCCTAGGTACTTGGTTTTATAAACCTGGGTGTATTATAGGAACTAGAGCACCTGATTCCAATAATTTGGATGCGTGATCAAATACTTTTGGCAATATAATTTGAGTCTGGTCACAGGAGGGAATGACAGCAGGACTGGGAAAAACAAACAAACACTTGGAAAATACTTGAACATATATATATGGAAATTGACTTGGTGCAATATAAGTTCAGATAATTCAAATGAAACACCCCCCCACAAACCAACAATAAATATATAATGCATAGATAGACAGATTCAATGGTAAATGTGTCTGGCTAAAAGAGGTAGAGACTAAGAGTGTTGTTCGGCTAATTGGATTACCTTGAACCCACTCACACATTTTCTGTACCCAGTTAGTTCTGTTCATCAGTCAGGACAGCAGCTTATCCCAGCAGTCAGTGGTTGGATGCAGGGGACACCCTGGACAGAGCCATTGCAGACACATATAAGTTGCTTGAACCAAACATATACCAAAGATCCTTTTATCAACTATCCTAACATAGAGTTTTCTGGACTGTGAAAAAACAAAAATGGAAAAACCCAAGAATGCACAATCAGCTGAAAAAGAACATGATGAGTCAACTGAGCCAAAGTGCTTCTTGCTGTTGATAGTGCTAGCCAGCTCAGCACTGTGCAGCCTTATAGCATGTCCTCGTTGTCGGAGTCTTTTTTTTTTAATGCTATCTTTAATTTTCAGATTAAGCTATTGAATATCTCTGTAAAAAGAAATAAAAAGATGTTCTATACAATGTTCTCTTATAAAAAATAACATTTAGAACAGTATCCTGTGTACTTTTGTGACACTTTTTGCTTGATTATATAGGCCATAAAAAGCCATTTTAATAAATGTATAAAATAAAAATATTTGTGTTGATGAAATGTGTTTAATGTCCCCAGCTCAGACAGGTTCACAAGTGTTTATTTGCATTTGACAATGCAAATAAATAGTTATTCAGGTGGTCGAAATGGTTAAAACAAAAAAAGAAATACTTGGGGCCTTGGATTACTCAGTAGAATGTGTTAA